GCTCCAATATAGCTCCATTCCCCCCTCTATGGATCATTATGATGATCAATAGTATTACATCTTTAAACATTGTAAGCCTATTAATCCAGAGCACAATTACTGCTTTATGCAGTTACCCTTTAAAAATAGAACATATCTTTACAGTAGATTTTTAGAAAAAAATGAGTGGAACATATAGAGTTCCCACACATGTGCAGTTGTCTTTCAAATTAGAGAGGAAAAGAAAATAATGAAATGTTCAATCCTTTATATTTATCTGTGTAGTTACTTATTTCTTCATATGAATTTGAATTATTTCCTTGTGTTCTTTTATTTTTAGTATTTCTTACAGAACAGATCTGTTAGTGATGAACTCTCAGTTTTTGTTTACCCAAAAATGTCTCAATTTTTCCTTCAAAATTGAAGTGGATAGTTTTGCTGGATACAGAATTTTTAATTGACAGTAGTTTCTTTTCAGCACAATATGTCATCTCACTGCCTCCTGATCACCATGGTTTCTGATGATAAGATAAAATTTAATATTATTGAGGATCTGTTATACATGATAAGTTACTTCCTTTCTTGTTGCTTCTCAGATTCTTTTGGTACCAGGGATTGAACTCAGGGGCACTCAACCACTGAGCCACATCCCCAGCCTTATTTTGTATTTTATTTAGAGACAGGGTCTCACTGAGTTGCTTAGCACCTCACCATTGCTGAGGCTAGCTTTGAACTCGAGACCCTCCTGCCTCAGCTTCCCCAGCTTCTGGGATTACAGGCATGTGCCTTGTGACTGGCGCTTCTCAGATTCTTTTTTTTTTTTTTCCCTGTAGTTTGAGCATGATATATATTTGTATGGATCTTTCCAAGTTCATACTACTTGAGTTCATTGAGCTTCTTGGATATACCAGATAATTTTTTTTTCATTAGATTTGTAAAGTTTGGGCCATTATTTCTTTTTAAAATTTTTTAAATTATTTTTTAGTTGTAGATGGACACAATACCTTTATTTTATTCATTTATTTTTATGTAGTGCTGAGGATCGAACCCAGTGCCACACATGTGCGAGGCAAGTGCTCTACCACTAAGCCCAGCCCCCGGGCCATTATTTCTTCAAATACTTTTTCTCCCCTTTCCCTTTCCTGCTTTATGATGTCCCATAGGTTTCTTAGGCTCTGTTCATTTTTTTTTTCCTTCTTTTTCTTTGTCATCCTAAGTTAGATCATCTAAAGTCTGTTCTAGTTCACTGAATTCTGTCAACTGTATTCTGTAAACTGAGATACGCTTTTGAATTCCTTTAAGGAATTTTTTCATTTCAGTTATTGTCCTTTTCAATTCCAGAATTCCAGTGGGGCTTTTTTAAAAAAATCAATTTGTATATCTTTTTTTTTTTTTACTATTTGTTTTTAGTTGTCAGTGGACCTTTATTTTACTTATATGTGGTGCTGAGAATTGAACCCAGGGTCTCACACATGTTAGACAAGTGCTCTACCACTGAACCACAACCCCAATCCTATATATCTTTTTGATATTTTCTTTCTGGTAAGACATCCTTCCTTACTTTTCATGAATTCTTTAGATATGGTTTCTTTTAGTTTTCTGAACTATTATAATAACTGATTTAAATTCTCTGTCTAGAAAGAGTAGTATCTAGGCTTCCTCAGAGACAATTTTCATTGACTACTTTATTTCCCATGTATGGACCTGAATTTCCTATAATTTTGCAAGTATCAAAATTATTTGCTGAAAACTGGACATTTTAATAACATAATGTAGCACCTTTGAAAATCAGATCTCCCCCGTGTTTTTGTTACTGTCTCTGTTTAGTGACATTCCTGAACTAATTCTATAAAGTCTGTATTTCTCAACATGTGTGGTCACTGAAGCATCTACTGTTAGCCTAGTAGTCAGCTCATGATTGGACAGGCATCTCCTGAAATGCCTTGAACCAATAAGCCTTTAACTCTTTGCAGAGAGGCTGTTGGGGGTGGGGAAAATGTGTTTATTGTTCCAGCAATTCACAACCCTGCCTTGGACTCTACTTCCCACTTGGGCAGAAAGTTAGGGGTGGGGTAACAGCCTTCCCAGCCCTTTCCTGGACATGTGCCCTTCCCTACACACATTCGTGCTTTCCAGGAATGTTAGAGCCTTTTGGCTCTGAACATCTTATTCCTCTGCCTTTTTCCCTTAAAAATTTTTGGCCAGATTAATTTACCCCAACTAGTATTGCTGCCTCAAGAAGCTGCAATGTTAAACAACTTTTGTTATTTTGTTTATTATTTCTAACAAACACCCTGAAGATAGAGTTTTTCCCACTGAGCAAGCTCTGAGTCAGGTCAAATAACAAGTTCTAACCAGGGCTAGTGTGGTGCCACCAAATGGGTCAAATAGTGACACATGTCTAAGAATACAGCTTGTTGAGAAGCTCCAAACCCACTTGGCTCCTTTGGGTAGTTGCAAAGATACTTTTTTTAAAACAGCTATTATGCTTGCAAGGCTACTAATTTTCAACAAGGCTGGGAGAGAGGGATGGAAATAAAGAAAGTTAATATCACCAAACTTCTTTTTTTATAAGCGTAATACTTCTTGATTATATGTTCCTTAGGTTGCAAACATTTGTCAGTTTTCAACTAAAAAGTTGATTTTGACCATTTTTGTCAGTGTTCTTGTTGCTTTATGAAAGAATGGATCCTCAGATTTACTCTGCATTTCTCAAAGTCCTGTCCCTGCACCTGACATTTTAAACTTGAGAACAGGATTTGACATTGTTTCCTGTTAAAAAATAATTGGAGACTTTGGTCCAGCATGCATTATCATAGTCATTTTTGATCCTTTAATTTCATCATGAATCAGCACACTTGCTGTGGAGCAGGCACTATGATAAATGTTCAGGAAAAGAGAGAGGTTTAAACGATGATTCCTGCCCTCTGAGAGCTTACAGAGCAGTCCAGAGGTCAAAATATAATTATGTAAGAAACATTTCATAATTATGAAAAAAAATCAGTGATCTTGAACATAGGTCAGTTGAGGTTGTGCATATTACATAACGATAAGAGGAAAGAGAGAGCAATGTAAGACAACATCTGATAAAACCTTCTCCACCAATGGAAACGTTCCTCACTGACCAATATGGTAGCTAATAGCCACACACAGCTATTGGGCACTTGGGGTATAGCTGCCATGACTGAGGAACTGAATTTTTAAGTGCATTTAATTATAATTAAGTCAGATTTAAATAATCATATGTGATTACCTTATCAGATATCACAGCTCTAAGACTTCAAATATTTGCTTGATTGGCCAGGATGATCCTGGAGTAGAGAGGAAGTGGAAGATTCCCTCCCGTGGGCGGACCAGGGCTCTCCTCCTTGGCTCCCAGGAGGAACAAGCAGGAACTTTGAGCTGTGGACACTACCTGGTGTGTGGTTGTGCTTCCTATCCAGTGGGTGTTGTTCAGTGACACTCTTGAAACAGATCAGGTCTAAACCACCTGGCAGAGGTCAGCTCTAGTGTACCTTGTTAGGGGCAAATTTAGATCCCAATTTAGAGCCCCAAAGAACCAGTCGCCTTCTTAATGGAGTGGTCACAAAACAAGCCCACACTAGTGTCCTCTCCTTCTGTCCCTCCTACCAGAGACTCTGTGCTTCCACAATTCACCTGTAAGCACAGGGTTCTGTCCAGGACCCATTTGGCAATTCCCCTTGAGTTCCAGAACCTCCCTGCTGGGTCAGTGCTGAGGTGGGACTTTCCCTCTTGCCATCCAAATGACCTGCACTTCCTTTCCCTGCCCCCACCCTTTTCAGAGCTCAGAGCATTTGAGGGAGAGAGAAGTGGAGGAGTTTTGGGAGATATTCCTCCATTTTCCCTGGGAGTCCTATAGGCCAAGATGCCAGTTGTAAGGACTTAATAGGAAGATCTCTAGGGCAACTGAAGTCAAGCTCAGGGCCCAAGTGGTCCTCATGCTGAGGTAGAAGTAGAGCTGGGGACCATGCCCCTAGCAGAAACTGGAGGAGGAGAGTGCAGAAGCAGAGGCAGCCTGGGAACCATAATGGTGGAGTAGGGAGAGCTAGAGGATGATACCTACACCTTGAATGGTAAGTTCTCTCTTAAAGTGAAGGGTTATTCAGGGTTAGGGACTCAAGCCAACCTGGGGTGTGTGGCCATGTGACTTAGAACAAGGACTGTCCCCTCTTAGCCTCAGTCTCCTAATTTGCAAAGTGGAGCTGATAGGTCACCTGGTAGGGAGGTTGGGGAGGGGATGGATGGGAAGATGTAAAGGAGAGGATGCGGTGAAGTCAGATGTTTATGCAGTGCACAGTGCTGTGTCTGCCATGGTGCCATTTCTTCCCTGCCACTCTGCCCTGAGTGATCTTCTGGAGTCTAAACAGCAGCAAGAACACTCAGAGCCAAGGAAGAACTTCCTGACTCTGATCACAGTCAGAGATGAGCAGGAGAGCACAAGCCTGGGGTCTCTAGGGCGGGCACTAGGTCTCTCTCTTAGTAGAAAAGGGCCACACTCAGCCTTCTCTCTATTCTCTCTGCCCTGGGTTGCTGGGCATATTGTGAAAATGCCAGACCTTGCCAACACCACCCTACCCATCTCTCACATGATCCTTAAAGAGGAGGTGCCGAGGTCTCTGCCCCTGGAGCCCAACACATCATCGTGCAAGGCCAGAGGAACAGAGACATCCATCCTTCAATCTCTCCCTCCCCCCACATCCCCATGTCACCCACAGCTTGCCTTCCTCCTCTGTGGCTTCTTCTGCCTGTCCATCACCTGCCGCCATCCCTCCTACTTTTCCTCTACCCTCATCTTCTTCTGTTCTTCCTGTGGAGTTCAGTTATCTTGCATTCACAGAAGACTCCCCAAGCTGGGGAAACAGGCAAGGGATGTGTATGTAAGTGTGTCCATACAGGCACAAACAGGCTTAATGCTCAGGCCACCCACTGTCACCAGCTCCACATGGAGTGCCCTGAGTCCTCCCATCCGCAGCTTCTCCACCTTTCCTCCCCTCCCTCAGGCCCTATTTGGAGAAAGTGGAGTCACCACCATTCTTCATGGGCAGCTGGGGGCCCCTGAGCAGTCTCTCCACCCCTTTTTCCTTCTCTTCAGGCCCCATGCCCAGCCCTGAGGTTTGGAGAGCCTGGTAAGTGCCCTATCAACATGTTAATCAAATTACTTAGGAGCTAAAATTGACGCTGTTCATTAATTATACAAGATTATGCTAATTGTGCATGCAAATGCATGCAGGGGAACAGAAGGTGTTCAGGCGCATGGTGGGCCATTAGCATAGAGGATGGGGTGCGGGTGCATTGGCATGCTAATGTATGCGCCCTGGCTATTTATAGTCCCCCAGCCCATCTGCACTGCAGCCACCTCTACCCTGGTTGGGGATCCTGGTGAGGCGACCTGGACCTGGTCTGGCAGGTGGTTATGGCCCTGGGGACTCTCTGACTTAATTATTACTGGAGACCAAGACCAGGGAGTAGCCCAAGCCACCTCCATATGAGCCTGAACAATTTCAGCAACCTCCTTGTTCACCTTCCCTTCTCTCACTTAAGCCCTTTGGTCCTGGCTTCTCTCTGGGAGGAAATGACTCTTCCAAGTGTCACAGTCAGTAAGACACTCTGTGCAGACTTCCCATCTCCCCACAGGGCCCACATTCCATATGATTTGGTGCCAACCCCCAGGCTATCCCACGCTGTTGGTATACTTCTCCCGGAGTGGTGTTCTCCAGAGCTGTTGTTCCCTGTGCCTTCTACTTCTCTGTGAGGTCCTCTAAGACCCAGTGCCCAAGATCAAATGTGAGCTGCAGGAATCCTTGCATCTCTCACAGGGAACACAAGTGGCTGCCCCCAATGACACTTGGCAAATTATCCTGCCACACCTACCACGTGTTTTACTGGTTGTTCCTTGAGTGTCTGTCTTTCCTATTGGATTATAAGTTCCTTAAGATCTTGTTCGCTTCTAGATCCACAACACCTGACATGCAGAAATTATTTAATCAAAAACTATAAGTGGGTGTGGGAATGAATGAGGGAACGAGTGGGGTAGCATCTGTACACTCCCGTCCCAGAGCTGAGAGTAGAATGCCAGGAAGACACTGGAGAGCCACTCTGTCCCAGGGAAGCTGTTGTGTTTCTTCTGAAGCTCATGAACTCAAAGGCCAGTCCTTTAGGATATAAATTAGTAGAGGACCCCTCCCCCATTCCCCCATTGCAGGCTGCAGTGCCAACTTTGAGTTTGGAAATACATATGCAATTTTATCCTACCGTGTGCTCTGATCCTGCTTTCTTTCCCAAGACCTTCACAGGATACACTGTTATTCTGTACAACGTGCCCCAACTTATGTATCCAGTCATTGACACTCCCTCTTTCTAGATCAGCAATGTCCAATATGGCAGCCAAGAGCCATATGTGACTAAGTCTACATGAATGAAAATGAAATCAGATTTAAACTGTTCCTCAGTCTCACGAGCCATATTCCAAGTGCTCAATAGCCACATGTGGCTAGAAAATGTCATTCTAGGAAGAATTCTATTGGATAGCACTGAAATCTGGACATTCAGTTCCTTATTCCTAACAGTCCTGTAGGTGAAAACCCACTTGGACTCTCGGCCCAGTTCTTTCAGTCACTAACAGCTTCCTCTTTGGAAGTAGGAATGTAATTTTAGCCTTAAGTAAGTGTCTCAGTGGGAAGGGAGGGTAAAACCAATGAAAAGCCTCAGCTTTGTGACCTGGTTTCTTAGGATGGAATTCCTAGAAGAGGCCAGGATGGGGATTCTTGCGGAAGTGGGTTATTAGAGGAAAGTCCTTGGGAGAGAAGGAGCAAGGGAGGCTGGTTAAGTCAGGAGAGGGAGTTTGGCAAGTTTATGGAGCTTGGAGGTTTAGCTTGCTGATCCAATGTGGTGAGTGAATGGTCCCAAGAACTGGTCCTTCTTGTTACTTCAATCTGTCATTGGCTGTGGGCTGCAGGCAGGGAGGATATGCTCCTGGCTTGGGGTAATGATCAGGTAGTGGGGCAGCTGTGAGCCCTTTAACAGCCAACACTCACAGCAGCAGGGGAATGCTAGACAGAATCTGAGCAGGTCTCCCACTGTACCACCCCTGGATATTGCCTTCCAGAGAGCAGACCCATCCCACTCTGCTTTCCATCCCTGTGAACCCAGAATCTAGCAGAGGACTCACATCCATTCCTCCACATTTTCCTCATCTATTGAGTGGGTCTTTTAAGTAAAGCACTGTGCTGGGGAGATTTCCTGATGCAATGGTGTCACCCTTGAGAAGCTGTGTGTAAGTCCAGCGTGTGCACTTGAATCATAATCAACCCAGCACTTGCATCTTTGGTAAGGAATATTCCATCAACCAGAAAGGCTCATTTCAATTCCATCTTAAGCTATTTTTACTGGGAGGAATAAATAGCCTTTATAAAGGTGATTAGGAAGACTAGACCAAGTTCAGGATGTAGTAAGGAAGATGTGCAGGTGAGGCACTCTTGCCTTTCATTGAAACCATGGCATCCTGATGCATAATTACCACACTTTAAATATTTTTTAAATATTTTTTAATTGGTGATAGACCTTTATTTTATTTATTTATATGCAGTGCTGAGAATCGAACCCAGTGCCTCACACATGCTAGGCAAGTGCACTACCGCTGAACCCCAGCCCCAGCCCCACTTTAAATGTTTTATTAGCTGGATGACCACTATTCACAGCTCTTCATTTGGTCTTTTATTACATTTTTTATTATGAAGAATGTTGAACATATGGGCAGAATAGAATAATAAACCATATATAACACTGATGATTATTTTTAATAATTATCAACTCTAAGCTCATCTCATTCAATGTTTTCTTTTTTAAAAATTTTTAAAAATATTTTTATTTTTTAGTTTTAGATGAACACAATGTCTTCATTTTATTTTTATGTGGAGCTGTGGATCGAACCCAGTGCCTCATGCATGCCAGTCGAGCGTGCTACCACTTGAGCCACATTCCAAGCCCTCAATTATTTCTTAATCCTGAAAATCTCAGACCGAGCAATAGTCTAAGCATCCAAAGGTCCAAAACTAGGTGCAAATTTGTAACCTTGAGGAAATCCCCATCAAATAGCTCTACTGGTCCCTGCACAGGATGCCTTTCAGGGATGCTTTTGAAGGACATGCTGCATGGTCTTGCAGCAGCAGCAGCAGCAGCCTGGTGTGTGGGAAAGGTACAACTCTGGTAGCCCCACTTAGAGGGACTTTTCCAGGACTCTTGTCAGCATCAGAGGTTCATAAAGACTCAAGTTCAAATTCCGACATTGGCATTTACTGTAATGCCAGTAATAAATTACTCTGTAATTTATTCCTGCTTAACCTTGGTTTTCTCATCTGTAAAGTGGGAATGGTTGCAGACCACCTCAGGGTTTTGAGAGGATTAAACAAGATAATGCCAAGTGACAAACTCAGCAGAGTTCCAGGCTTGATTAAGATTAGACCTGGTTCACTTTGAGGTTTTTTTGGACTTTTGTTCCTTCATTTGTTTGTGAAGCTCTCTCCCTGAAGCATTTTGTACTTGTATTTATAGTACTTTCATACAGTAATTCTATGGCAGCTCCTGGGATTTGAACTTTCTCATACCACCCATTCTATGACATGGTCAACATGAGGCAACCATGCTTCTTGAGATCCTCATGACCACTAATGGGGATGGCACTGGGTACAGTCCTGTACTGCTCACCCCAGTGGGCCACAGGGTCAGCCAGAGCTGTGGGCTCGGTTTGCCTTGCTTCCCCCAGCCTGTAGCCCCTCCCAGTTAGGAAAGGGGACATCTCTAAATTCCTTCCAGCCCCATCATGCCAAGGGTCAAGATGGGGGATCATCCTGACCCTTGGCATGCTTAGACTATTGCCATTTGGATGCTTAGACTATTGCCAAGGTCATCTCCAAAGTCTGGATGTCTGCTCAGCAGACATCCAGACTTTGGGGATGAAGGACACTTTCTTGTTGATTCAGAGCCTCTCAACAAAACATGCATACCTACCTGCCACATGTCCCGAGAGGGTATCCCAGACTCTAGAGCCTCGCCTTCACTGGTCCAGCCCTTGCCCAGGCTCTCTTCCTTCAAGGAGAACACAGTTCCTCAGTTTCCATGTCCACATGTGTATTCATCTCTCTCCAACTCCCCTTCCCACCAGGTTCTCTGACCCTCTCCCACATCTGGCCTCTGCTCAGACATGGCTTGGAGGAACTGCTCCCTCTATTTCTTCTTACTCTATTATCATCCTTTCCCTACTGCTCAGTTGGAATAAAATGACACTTCACGTGTGTCAGCCTACGGAGGGAGTCCCTCCAGCCTCCATGGTGTGGGCTCCCAGAGGAGGGAAAAGAGGATGGAGCCAGCCCCAGCACCAACCCACAGCAGAAAACAGGCACTCTAGGGACTGGGCACTATAGGACAAAAGAGAGGTTTGGGTACTACTCCTGGTTCTCCTAGACCTTACCAAAAGTCCTTCAACTCCAGGCCCAGCCCTGGAAGGCAGGAATCGAGGGACAATCAACTTTGCCAAAGCACGATCTTCAAATGTAATAAAGCATGATCCTCATATAAATTGTTACTGAGCATGCATTACAGTTTTCTGTAACTTATTAGTGAGAGAACCAGTAGGATGACAAAGCTGGCTCAAAAAGACTAAGAGAAGGGTCTGGGGTTGTGGCTCAGTGGTAGATTACTTGCCTTGCATGCATGAAGCACTGAGTTTGAATCTCAGCACCACATAAAAATAAATAAATAAAGATATTGTGTCCACTTACAACTAAAAAAATATTTTTAAAAAGACTGAGGGCTGGGGTTGCGGCTCAGCGGTGGAGTGCTCGCCTCACATTTGCGAGGCCCTGGGTTCGATCCTCAGTACCACATAAAAATAAATAAAGGTATTGTGTCTAACTATAACTAAAAAAAATTTTTTTAAAGTTTTTAAAAAAGACTAAGAGAAATCTATACATAAATATGAAGGGAGTGGAGGGAAGGAGAAAGAAAGGGGGTGTATGAAAAATGCTAGACTACAACTGTCAAGTTAGAGTCAGAGCTAGGTAATGTCCATAGGAAAATAAAATTGTAACCTTGGGGCTATTTTCTTTTTCTTTTTTGGTACCAGGGATTGAACTTGGGAGCACTTAACCACTGAGCCACATCCCCAACCCCCCACCTTTTTTTTTTTGTATTTTATTTAGAGACAATCTCAGTGCCTTGCTAAGTTGCTAAGACTGGCTTTGAAATCGCAATCCTCCTGCCTCAGCCTCCTGAGCCACCATGCCCAGCTCAGGGCTAATTTCTTACCTCTTTTAACAATGTCATTTGCATCTTGTCAGTTCTCCGCAAATTAGCCCCTAACTTTATAGTCTGGGCCCCAATTGATAATAAACATGAGTCACTTTCCCCTAGAAAATCAGATGCTCAGAGGTGACTTTGCTAAAATAAGACACCAGAACAGCATTGTCTAATATAATGCAAGTCACACATGTAAGGTTAAATTTTTTAGTAGCCACATTTTAAAAAATAAGAAGAAACTGATAAAATTAAATGTGATATTTTAATTCAATCTAAAATATTGTCATTTCACCTCACAATAAATATAATAATTTTTATATTCCTTTTTTTAAAAGTAAGTCTTGGAAATCTGATGTGTACATCTCAAATTGGGACTAGCCACATTTCAAGGGTTCAGTGCCATGTAGGGCTAGCAGCTATGGGTAATGCAGCTTTACAGCAGGTTCTCAAGCTTTAGGGTGCATTGGAATTGCCTGGAGGGCTTATAAGAACACATGTCTGGGCCACACCCCAACAAAAGTTTGGATCCAGCAGGTCTAGAGTGGGGCCTGGTATTGCATTTCTAGCAAGTTCCTGGGCGATGCTGATGCTGCTGGCCTGGGCACCAGTCTTTGAAAACCATGGTTTCAGGATAAGTTTGAAAGAATACATGGTGATTTTTTTCCCCAACTACTGTAGACTAGAAAAAGAAGAAGAAGAAGAAGAAGATAGTCACTGCATATTTGTTTGGTGGGTATGTGCTCTGTTGATTAGGTTTTGCTATGTGTATAATAAATATAGAATATGTGAGAGGGATCTGCTGAGGGGGTTTCTGCTATGTGGGATAGCTATATAGTATTTGCAATGATTGTATTTTGGGTAATCATGTACAACAGAAAATGGTATATTAATGTGTTCACTATATTCCATATTGTTTCTGTGCATATACTCTGTAGGCAGGGCATACATGGTACATGGTGGGTATAGAATATGTATAGCTAGTATATCATATATGTGGGATAAGTATAGCCATACTTATGGAATGGAATTCATATTATATATACTTGTGTGATGGCTCTATTTTATGAGTAATAATATATAAGGCAAACACAGTTTCTATAGTGGATATTGCTGTTTATGGTGAATATACATTGTAATGGTGATGGGTTTACACTGGGGGAAAGATATGCCCTGTGATTGATGTACTATATGTGTGCTGGGCACATGTTATAACAGACATACATAGCATGTGACAAGTTTTCACTGGCTAAGTGTGAATACATGCTACATTTGGTGTATACATTGGGTGATGATATACAGTGTGATGGGTATAATAGGTACATATACTTTAGTACATATAACAGATGAATACATGTTATGTGGGTGTGATAATTATACATTTTGTGGACAAATAAGCACTACATGGTTCATACACTGAATGCTCATGGTGGGTATTCTGTGTAGTGAGGTGGTTCTTATGATGGGTCTATTTGGTGTGTATCAAGTACCTGTGCATACACAGTTCGTGATGGAAATATGGGGTATGTCCCTGCACATGAGCACACAGACCATAGTTACTTTGCTGGTAGGGGGACTGGCAGGGAGCAGTTGATCATCTGTTTCCAGAACCCCCAGAACCTTGAGCCCAACGACCTCATTGTTTCAGGTTCTTCCTCAAATTTTTTCTCAAATGCAACCAGAACTGCCTGAAGAATGCAGGGAATCCCCGAGACATGCGCCGCTTCCAGGTGGGTTTGGGGAGAGCCTCCCCTGCAAACCCACCCTTTCCCAATAGGGAGGGGAGCAGGAAAGGAAGGCTGAGACCCTGCCAGGGCAGATCTCTGTTCAACCCTGTGCCTCCACGGCCTGGTGCCTGCTGGGGGTGGGGTAGCTCCATCTCAACTTGTGCTGGCTGCCAAGGGAGGCTTCATTAGAGTCCCACTTAAGAAGATGCTAATTGTGACATTTTTACATGATTAACGACCCAGGTAATTTGCATAGTGTGAAGCAGAGAGCAGCTGCCCTTAGCACATCCCCAACCTGCATACCCCTCCCAGTTCAGGGAGAAGGCAGCCCCAACTTCCTCCCCAGAACAGGGTGGGGGCTCCTGCTGATGGGTTCTCCAGCTGATGCACACCCCCCCCCCCTTATTTGTCTAAGATCTCATTTCTGCCTTGAAGCCCTGGTGTTCCTGGGTGTGCACCAGCGACCACTCTGCCTCAGGAACCAAAGTTTTTCCCAAAGCTTTGATTTTCTACCTCCTGGGGAGTCAGCTTATCTGGGAGTGTTACCTGATCCAGGTGGCCCCATTTCCACCAGCTCAGAACCAAGGAGCTGAAGCTCCCTCCCCATCCCCAAGTTCCAGTACTCAGCCACCAGCCTCAAATTGCTACTCCCCCACCGGAGTTCCCTTCCTCCTGGGAGATCCCTGAGGGCTCCAGCCAGATTGGTGTGGCTCTCCCCACAGGTGGTGGTATCCACCACGGTGAGCGTGGACGGACACGTGCTGGCTGTGTCCGACAACATGTTTGTGCACAACAACTCCAAGCATGGCCGCAGGGCACGTCGACTGGATCCCTCCGAAGGTCAGGACTCCTGGCCCATCCCTGGCCACCCCCAGACCCCACCTTAGCGCGGTCTCCTGACCTGGGTCCTCTCCTGCCTCCCAGCTGCCACTCCCTGCATCAAGGCCATCAGCCCCGGGGAGGGCTGGACCACGGGCGGCGCCACCGTCATTGTCATCGGCGACAACTTCTTCGACGGGTTGCAGGTTGTGTTTGGAAACGTGCTCGTGTGGAGCGAGGTGGGCCATCCCCGCCAGCCTCCTTCCGGGGGCCTCGGGCTGGGCCCTCCCCTCTGGATGGGACCTGCAGGCCTCCCCTCTCCCCTAGCAGCTCATCACGCCCCACGCCATCCGGGTGCAGACGCCCCCGCGACACATTCCTGGGGTTGTGGAGGTGACCCTCTCCTACAAGTCCAAGCAGTTTTGCAAGGGAGCCCCTGGCCGCTTTGTCTACACAGGTAAGGAATCAAGAGGCAGAGGGGAGGTCTAAGATCAGAGGAGGGAGCCCTACCCGCGGTGCCCTAATACTGTTCCTGGTGTATTCCCTTTGTTAACCAATGCCTTTCTTGTACCCCGTCACCTCGGCGGCTGCCCCACCCTCACCATTCCCTATACCCGCCTGTACTCTACGACTCCTCCTCAGTCTGGTTCTTCTTTCCCTAGCCCTGCCCCAGCCCAAGCCAGCCGCCAGTTCCCCACCTTGGTGCTGTCCCCTGACCTAGGTCCTTTCCCTATCTCTTCCTCCCACCGCCACTGCATAGTGACCCAACTTACCCTCAGGGAGCTTGCGTCTAATCCGGGGAGACTGAGCAGCCACTAGAGTGGGGTGGGTGGAGTTACACCGTCCAGGACTTGAGGGACAGAAAACCTGCCCTCAAGGAAGTGTGGGCTGTACAGGGCTAGGCTGAAACTGGAGAGATGAATGGGGAGGTAGACATCCGGAAGGAAGGGCTGTCGTGGGAGAAGAAATGGCCATCGCAAAGACCCGGCAATGAGTACTTTAAGCATTGGGGCAAATGAAAGGAAATTAACTAAATCTGAGCTGGAAATGGAAAAGGTATGGCTTTGAAACTGGTGTGTTATAGGTCCGTTCCAGAGTTTCCAGGAAGGTGAAGGAAGGGGATGGAGGGGAAAAGAAAGAGGAGGGAGGTCCAGAGAACAGGGAAAGACACAGGGAGCCAGGTTAGGAGGCTGTTACATACTCCTAAGAACCCAGGGTGTGGGACATTCCCTTTCCTGGGGTGCATGCAAACCTCTAACCCTCAGATACTGCTGAGTCCACTGCTGAGTAGTGATAAATGGAGATGATCGGGTTTTCTTTATTATAATAAACTCTTGATATGACCAAATGCAAACGGAGAAGAGTTCTGCCCCCTGGGAATATAGAAACTAATATGCATATTCACCTCCCCGCCTGCCGAGCACATATAGGATCATATAGTGCATGTGTGTTAATGTCAAGTGCCTGGTATGAAGCCTGGCTCAGTAAATATTTATGAATGAATAAACCAAGGAATGGAGGAAACTTCCCAGAATCTCTCTGATCCCTATGCCTGGGGTGGGGGGGTCTCCCTGCACTTGGCTGGATATGGCAGAGTTCTGGATAGGTAAATTGCATGCATTTTAAGTCCTGCTTCCCCTCTCTGAGAAGGATTTGTCCTCCAAATACCTTCTCTCCAGCCCTGAATGAGCCCACCATTGACTACGGATTCCAGAGGCTGCAGAAAGTCATCCCCAGACACCCTGGAGACCCCGAGAGGCTGCCCAAGGTACTCAAAGGAGCGGGATGGGGACGAAGGTTTCCTGAGGGCGAGCGGGTGAGGAGGACCTTCAGAGGGTCCCTCCGCGGCCCCCAGGGGCTGCCCCCTCCGTCGTGCTGTCTCCTCCCCTACCCCCAGGAAGTGCTGCTAAAGCGGGCGGCTGACTTGGCGGAGGCCCTGTACGGCGTGCCCAGCAGTAACCAGGTATGGCGCTTCCGCCCGCCTCCTAGCGCCGCTGGGCCCAGGGCTGCCCCCCACCCGGTGCCTGTGGCTGCCCCGGCCGTGCCCTGCTCTTGTCTTCGCAGGAGCTCCTCCTGAAGCGCGCGGCGGACGTGGCCGAGGCTCTGTACAGCGCCCCCCGCGCGCCTGCACCGCTCGGACCCCTGGCGCCGAGCCACCCGCACCCTGCGGTCGTGGGCATCAATGCCTTCAGCAGCCCGCTGGCAATCGCTGTCGGGGACGCCACGCCGGGGCCCGAGCCCGGTGCGTCCCGTTGCCTTTCCCCGCAGTCCCTGGGCGCCTGGATGGCCCCCACCCTGCCAGCGTGGATCCCCTGACCACTGCTCTCTTGCAGGCTACGCTCGCAGCTGCAGCAGCGCGTCCCCCCGCGGGTTCGCGCCTAGCCCTGGCTCACAGCAGAGTAGCTATGGCAGTGGCCTTGGAGCGGGCCTCAGCGGCTATGGTGCACCAGGTGTGGCCGGTCTTGGTGTGCCCGGTTCCCCTAGCTTCCTCAATGGCTCTACCGCCACCTCGCCTTTCGCCAGTGAGTGCCCCCTGCCTGTGGGGTGAGGGAACCCGGAATCTGGGGAAGCAGAATGGGAATTGTCCTTGCCCCCAGGCCATCCCTGGATGGACTTCCATCTCCTAACTCATGAGGTCCACCGTGGCTTCATATGACCTCTCTCTACTGGTGAACCTCACTCCTCTCGGAGTCCTGGGGCCCTGGGGCCAGATTACTTCTTTTATCTTTAACTCTCTTTGATGACCCCAGTTGTACACATCGCCTTCCGCCCTCCTGTCCCCCTGAAACCGGCTTTAATTGGCAGGACCTGGGCTGAGATCCTGGACTGCCACCTTTCCATCTATGCTAGGACTTTGGGCAGAGGCTGGCGCCCCCTGCCGGAAGTCTATGGAAACTCAGGGCTCAAAAGAAGTGAGCTTTCAGGGGGGCCCCCAACAATCTTGAAAGGATGGGTGGGCGGAATGAGGCTGTGGCCCCCCGCAATACCATCAAACAGGGCGAGAGAATTCTGTGTGGTCAGGGATGGACTCATAATGTGAGTGTCCATATCAGGAGCTGTTCGACATTCCCCAAGTTACATTATTTCTTTGAACTTCAGTTTCTTCTCGTAAACTCAGATCAGTACTACCCCCTGCCTACTGTGGTTCTCAGATCTGAATGTGCCACTGAGCATAAGAAGACAGGCAACATTCTAGAGGAATGGATGATTTCACAGATCCGACTCCTACTATCTCAGATTTTTTGGAGTGGGGTGGCTCAGAACTAGGTGGATGGGCAATGGCTGGATGTCACGGTTGAGTGACATCCAGAACTGCCTTTATGCTTGAGCTTTCTATACTGCCCTACAGTCCCTTCCAATATCAATCGCTTCTCAACAGACATTTATAACGCACCTATTGTGTACAAAGCACTGGGCTTGGGGGGTAATTCCATCCTTACTCAGCCATCAGAATCCTCCCTATCACTCCTAAGAGAGGTTGTCCCTCAAGTCCTGGGAGACTGCTAAGAAATGATGAGAGCTGCCCAAGAAGTAGCTGGTGGTGACTTTGCCAAAAGTCCCCTCATCTCCCCTACCCTCTGTTTGCCATTGCTGAGACTAGAACTATCTAGCCATAGGCCTAGTTGTCTTGCCAGGGGTCTGTGTCCTGGGTACTACTGTTCTTTCTGGCTGGGGATGAGTCTGGCACTCTCCTTCTGGCCTGAGCTCAACTTCTAGAAACCAAAGCACCATAAGCCAGAATCCACACATGGCATGGACCTCTGGTGTCCCTCACAAGGCCTGTATCCCCTGGCCAGGCTAGGTTGCAATATTTCCATTCCCTTCAATTCTGGGACAGTGCCCTCACAGCCTTTCTCTGGTCACCCCTTACATTTCTGAATCTCCTCTAGCAGCCCTACCACCTCCCCTGCCATATACACATGGTGCAGTCAACAGTGGTACACACTGCCCTGCTGTACAGAAGTCGGCCCACCTGCACTCCCCCCATTCAGCAAGTGTGCCAAGAATTACAGAGCTACTTCAGTCCTGTTTCCACCTTCATCCCAGGACACCCGGGTCTTAGCCAAGGGCCAGTTCCATCTCATGATGTTGTCTTCACGAGTGCTTACCCAGGTCCCCATCCACTCCCCGTGTGTAGGATGTTTTGTGGCATGATTGCATGGGGCATCATTTCTCACTGAGTTTGCTAGGACATTCCTCGAATGACATCTGAACTGTCCCAGCCAGAGGGTCTGGGGTTATCTGCACAGGTTTATTTATTTATTTATTTATCTATCTATTTATTTATTTTGCATCAATCTCCAGAAACCTTGGAATGATCTAAAACTCTAAGTACAACCCCAACTAAAAGATGTGTCTGTGAGCACTCTGGGCCTTGAGAGATGGCAGTATATTTTATGGTCTCAGTCTTAAGCCCTCCATGGGGCTGTAGCTTCACTAGATATCAGACGCATTGTCTTAAAGGAGATTCAACCATGGGGCTGAAGACATCTAGAAGGGGGACAGCTGTTGAAGACACCATTGTAATAAAGTCAGAGTGGGGTGCTCTGATGTCAAAGGTATCCGTCCCAGGCTACAGGTTTCTTCCAGGAAGCCCCCACCCACTGTCCATTGCCTGCTGCTTGGACATGCTCAAACCACAGACTTTAGTAGTCTTTAGAAGAGGAGGAAGGGACTTGGGTTCAGGTGAGGATGTAGTGAGGTGGGGTCCAGAGATGCCTAGGTGGGAGCCTCCAGGAGAGGAGGCTGCAAGCTCCCTCAGTGTTCCCAGGAGAGCATGCCATAGCCCTGGATGGCTGAAATGGAAGAACAGGAAGCTTCGAGGACAGGGATCCCTCGCTTTTCTTTGAAATTGAAAAGAGAGATAGAGGAGACTCCAAGGTACAGACTGGAGATGACAGAGTCCTGTATTAAGCTGGAAAGAACCAAAGTGCCCAGGAAGCAGAGTCAGAGATAGACAAGGCATATTGAGAAGAACATATTCATGGAGAAAGTTAGGGTGTTTGTGTGGGCAGGGAGGCCTCACAAAGACCTGTCTGTACCCCCAAACTTCAACTCCTCGTGCCCAGTTCTGCTGTGATCCCTGAACTTTTGACTCTAGCCTTGGTACCTCAAGGGCCCATAAACGTTTCTTTAGCATCTCAGAATCCCCTAACCTACTCATCTCTTACCTTTGGGGGATCACCCAGTGTCTGGTTTTGTATTTGTTTTTGCCTCATCTGGCCCTGTCATCTCCAGCTCCAAGAAAGGGTCTCCAGAACCCCCAAGGAGGCGAGGGTTGGCCCATGACCCCAGAGGCTCCCAGCCCACCTCCAGACCCGGCCCTGTACTGGTCCCCAGGACCCTCCCAGCCCCCAGGGAGGTTTGAGCCTAGTGCCTGGTCAGCAGCCCAAGCGAGGCCCACAGCCCACACGGGCGACCCTGCTGCTCACTTTGGTGCTGTCTCCCTGTTGTGTCTCCCACTGCCTTCCCTGCTGCGCCTGCCCCTCCCTGCCCCGCCCCGGAGTCATGCCCTCTAGCCCCCCGCTGGCGGCTGCCTCCTCCATGTCCCTCCCGGCCGCTGCCCCCACTACCAGCGTATTCTCCTTCTCGCCTGTCAACATGATCTCCGCCGTCAAGCAGAGGAGCGCCTTTGCCCCCGTGCTGCGTCCACCCAGCTCCCCACCCCAGGCCTGCCCCAGAGTCCACGGAGAGGGGCTTCCAGGTGAGTGATACACACTGACTCATGATGACCGGTGAGAAGGGTCAAAGACAGTGGCTAGGCTGGAGGGGACCACTGGACGCACATCTTGAGCAGTTTGCCGCAGTGGGTGCTCAGCAGGAAATTCTGCAGGGGTCCAAGGACATCCATCTGGACCTGAACCTCACAGCTAGGAATAGTTAGCACTCTGGATTCTAAACTGTCCCCTTGGCCAAGAGGAGGGAAATCGCAGCTAGAGAAGGCCTAGAGACCACCTCCATAGGCTCATCTGACTGAGCAGAGCAAAGACCCAATTCTGAGAGCTGGAGGAACCCACATGGGCTGCATGCCTTGTTCCTGTGCCTCCTTGTGTCCACCAGAGGGTAGCACACACCACTGTGAGACAGGGTCACTCAAGGAACGAAAGGGAACTGACCTTAGATAAGATTTAACCTAGCTTTCCCTCCCCTACTTTTTAGATTAGGCATGGAAATCAAGTCACCCCTCCTGTTCCTGTTAATGAAATGGTTGTTCATTCACATTATACACACGCTGCAGAACTTTCCTATCCAAGTGGTCGTTGAAAACTCACTAGCAGACAGAGGGAGAGACTGGCTGTGGGGAAGGAGGCAGAATCAATAGCATGTGGAGCAGAGGAGGTCCCAGATGACAGGGATCCTTGGAAGCAGAGCCAGATGAAGGTGTCTTCCCCAAGACAGGTGTTTCCCTGTCTGGCCACAGGGATGTCTCCAGGAGATCTCCTGGGACTCAGTTCAGAGCTTAGCACCTAACTCAGCATCTGACACACCACAAATGCTTAGTAACTAGTGGCTGAATTACTGAATGAATTGTGGTCGGAGGGACACCCTTCAAATGCAGAGGCAGAGAAGCTGCAGTACAGTTTGTGGGGCACTGAGCTGAAAGAGGCTGTGAGCCCAAGTCATTTCCAGATCTAAGGCAGGGACAGATGCAATGGTTCCCATGCCCAGGCAGGGGAGCAACTATGAATAGTGCCCCATGGGTTCTCTGTGCCCCAGGTTCCTTATAGCAGACACTGGAGGAGAGTGGAGCAAGCCTGGGGCTTGATCACCAGAAAAAACAGCTATACTTTGGAGTAAAGTAGGGAACAGAGCAATCCAATGCAATCTAGAAACTTTTTAGCTCTGCTTCTGCCCTATCCAAGACTGTTCTGAACAGTCCAGACTGATTCAAGTAATTACAGAATTTTGTACTGGAACGGGGCTGCTTGGTAAACCATCTGGAGGGTGGGCCACTGTCAGAAATGGCCTGACCCAGGCAGCGTTTGAAAAATGAATTCATTTTCTTTTTAAAAAATATTTTATTTTTCAATTGGAGTTGGACACGATACCTTTATTTTGCTTATTTATTTTTATGTGGTGCTGAGGATCGAACCCAGGGCCTCGAACATGCTAGGCAAGCACTCTAATGCTGAGCCACAACCCCAGCCCCATGAATTCGTTTTCTAAGTTTAGGAGGAAGGATCTCAATAGGGGAGGCTTCCAGGTAGAGGTGTGTGGAAGGGGAAGCAAGGATGTTAGAGCTCACATTGAAAACATTAAAGGCATAACTCATACCAGAACATGCCAGAGGTTTATTTAAGTCTTGGGTGAGAGAGCTAGCAGGATGACAGGGTGACCTAAAGGAGAATGTGGGGACTCAAGTAAGTGAAATGAAGGATGCTGAAATAAGATTGTCTGGTGTAGGCTGGTTCTACCATGTAGTCAACTCTCATCTGCTTTGGGGGATTGTATTTTCTACCAAATGGAAGTCATCTGCTATTTGTCAGTTTCCTCCAAGTTAACATCAACTTAACAAAGCCTGGGCCCTAATCAGTAATGTATGTATAAGTCGAGAAGGAAAAAAAATCATATTTTTCAGAATAAGAGAATTTTTTTTAAAAAAACTTTATTTTATTTATTTATTTTAATGTGGTGCTGAGGATCGACCCCAGTGCTTCACATGTGACAGGCAAGTGCTCTACCACAGAGCTTCAGCCCCAGCCCCAGAATAAGAGAATTTTAAGGTAGACTTTTGAGATAAATGACCCAGAGTGATTTTAAAAGGATATGCAGTCCCTTTTAAACTTATCTCCAATTTTTGGATAATTTGTCCTAACTCCAGTGTGCCTGGGGCTTAAAATATGAGGGACAGGTAGGTCAGAAGGTCCTGAGTTTTCCTGCCAGCAAATGGAAGCACTGGAAGAGGTTATTCAGGGCAGGGAACAGGACAGTGATGCATTTCACCCTCGTGGAACTCAGCATGCTGCTAGTGAGCATAGGTGTCAATGCTTCTGGAAGGTGGCCTCTGTCCTTACTGTCCTGGTCATTGGCTATCTGCTTTCCTCACCTTGACACTGGCCCTCTGAAGAAAGTGGGCTTGGTAAGAGGAGCTTGGAATTGGAGGAAGTTAGAAGAGCAAGAATATGGGCTGCACCTCCTGAGAGGTCTGGGGCACCTTTCAGCTTTCCATCTGTAGTGCTGGCCCCAGGCCAGGGCTAAGGGTGGTAATTTGGGAAAGTACCATATTCCCCGCCTGCTATCTCCAGCCCAGAGGGGCACAGGCAGGTGAGGTCACCAGGCTGTGCAGGGTTTACAGATCCTTTCTTCTTAATGATCCCAGACCAGCCTTTTGAGGATTCTGACAAGTTCCACTCTCCGGCCCGGGGGCTCCAAGGCCTGGCATACTCCTAATTACGGTAGGTCGTTGGCTGGGTATTGCCTCCTCCTCTGGATTCTCTTTCCAAAAGGCCTTCGCAGGGGTGAGGAGCTGGGGTCCAAGTCTGCCTGTCCTGAGCCCCTCTAGATAACTGTTGGAGGCACATAGCCCACCCCAGTGATCCAAACTAACAGGGGATGAGAAGTCACTTCCTGTTCCCTTGCAGCCAGTTCTCCTCCAGGACCTTATTCTCTCCTCCACTCCCCCCCCCCAGGTCTGCAGGTGTTGCCCCCACTGAGCCTGGACTGGAGGTCCCTCCGGGATTCCCAGTCATGTCCTGGATGGCGGTACAAACAGATGCAGGGCCAGGGCTGTGGTCAGACCTCAACCCTTGGGCTGAACAGGGAGAGACCTTCCCCCTATGCTCAAGGCCCCTTTGGCCTCACAAGCTTCTCTCATCTCCCTTTCTTGGGTCTGGCTGGAAACCTCGGCACAGTACTGATGCTCTTGGCAGGAGAGCCTCCCAGGGAGGTGCTGGGATGCCAGGCCTCGCTTGTTGGGTCGGTTCCTCTGGAAGAGATGGATTCTGTGCAGACCAGGGATGTCAGTGAGGGGAGCATGGGATGGGGACCATGGGAAAGAGGACAGCTCAGGGAGAGGTGACCTGGAAAGGTCCTGTTTGCATCTGACCCATCTCAATTGGCCCAGCATCCCGACTTCTCTCCAGTGAAAAGGGTGGACCCAACAGCCTCTGGTCCACCCAGGCTCCCATGGAGCTTCCATCAGCAGCTGGACCCTGTGGCTGCCCCCACGTCCTTTGAGACCAGCATATTTATGCTTTTCACATCATGCCTCCCTGTGGGGGCTTTGGGCATGGAGGATACAGAAGAGGGGTTGCCAGGCCTCCTGGATTTTGAGTCTTCCCTCAAGTGGATGTCTCATGAACTCTGGCCCCTCATACACACTGACTCTGGTTGGCCCCATGAATGACCTGGCTGCCCCCCAGGTGGCCTAACACTCTGCTCTGCTAAGTCTGGAGAAAATAGAACAATAAACCAGATGCAGATGGCCACCTAGCCTCTCTCGTCTCCTTCCTTGGTGTGGGTCTGCTTTTCTCAGTAGTTTTGCAGATCTCATGGGGCCCATCCAAAGCATGCCCTGGGCTGCCTTCTTGCACCTTGGCCTTATTAAACAACCCCAGAGTTCAACTGAGCAAGCATGCCCTGCCAATGTCTGCTTTCAGTTCCTGTGGGGGGAAGTTTGGAGGCTGGCTGTCAGGCCTAAGGACCCAGAAGATGGGCTCAGTCCCAAGATCTCTTTCTGGGCCTCAGGCCACTGAAGGCCCAGCTGTATAGCCAGCATCAAGGTGGGGGTTGTTAGAAAGATGTTGCTGGGAACTGGTACAGAGCAAATCAAATACTACCCAGACATACAGAGGCTTGGAAGTGAGATCCAGTCTCTGACAGAGGCTATCGGCCTCACCCGGGCTTGGCAGGGCAGCTTTGGGCTCCTGGGGCTGCCCCTCTGAGCCACATCCCACCCCTTTTCACTCCTCCCAGGTCCAGGCCTCTCTGGCTGTCCTGCCTCAGAGGTTGAGAGGAAGGTAATAAACAAGATTCCGAGGTGCACTCACCCACCCCCACCCTGGAAGAATCCCAGTTGTCTCCCTGATTTCTGCCCTGGACAAAGGTCTGGCTGTTTGACCTTAGAAACCACTTTTCTGATCCATTATCCAGTGAGCTAAGTGTCCAGCTTAGTGCCTCAGGCTTTGCTCTTTCCCCTCCTTGGCACTTCTTGGCTCTGGTTTGTAGGAACCTGTCCTTCCCAGCCCACCCACCCATGCCCTGCAGCTTTCTAGATAAACATACTTGCCCAGGCAGATGGGTTGGTCCTGTCCTTCAGAGACTTCTTACTTCTTTCTCTGGTGTTCTTGGTCCACACCTGGAATTCACTTCACTTGGGACTCTTACAGAGGGTCCTGTCTCTAGTCATCCTCTCCTAGTTTCAGCATTTGCCTGGCCTCCCACTCTGTTCCTACTTGCACTGTGTTACAAAGCACCAGAGCTTGTCTGTCCAAGCTGTGTTCCATTCAGTTATCAGCTACTGCCCAGGGCTCTCCCCCTGAAGAACTGCACTCCATACTGAGCAAGAGCGGTAGCTGGACTGTGGTACAAGCTGGTTCCCAGGATAGGTCAATGCCATGATCAATATAGATAAATCATAGTATCTGTCTTCAAAATGATCCCACAACATTTCTCAAGTCACCATTTGAGTCA